TTCGACGCGGAATTCGTACGCTACCTGAAAGATGGGAGAAAGTAGTGGCCAGCGATGGACAATACTTTGAATCATAAATGTATAACCAGTTTTTTACAATAAAGCCTCGAATTTCGGAAAAAAATGGCGGAAGCAAAGTTGTACACCTAATACAAAAAGAGCAAATTTACTAGAATATTCATAATTCAATTGGTCAACATTTAGTAAATTCTCACTTTTGTAATTTTCTTCTCATTTCAAAATACAATCGTTTCCCAGGATATTGATAAGGGGAAAATGTGAATAGTGAAATTTTTTCGTATATTGTGTGTATATGTGTATATTAGGTGTAGTAAAAAGAAATCCATTATTTTTCCATTCAATTTCATGCAAAAATAATAGATTTCTTTTTACTACACCTAATATAAACATATATACATAAAAATTTTCACTTTTCATGTTTCCGCTCTAGAGAAAAAAATTACATAATTAATATCCTGGGAAAATATGATGACTATAGCTATGCCAGTAGATTTGGGAAATCGAGTTTGATACAGGACTTTGTTTCTGCTATCAATCTGCTGACAAAGCATGTCTAGAAGGCTTTGTCATATTTCTGACAACAAATTGCTGAACAATGTCAGATAATACAATCGATACAATTTGTGACTATTTGTGTATCAAGAATCTGCATAAAAATAAAATCTGTGATATATTATAAAATTTTATTGCATAGTATAATTAAACTGATATAATGCAGTGTTTTGAAACTGATTTGATTGTGTTGGAACAAACTCTTAATCTTGAAATAAAAAGTTTGAAATAATAAAAAATGAAAACAACTCTAGTTTGAATAATTTAATTTAGAAAATTAAGAAATATAATTAACAAAAATAAATTGTATTTATATGCATGAAACTGTAAAATATTTCCCGTAAAATTTTGCTCATTAATATAATACTAGGCATTGGAACACTAATTAGAAAAGAATTTCTCGTAATGTCTAAATAAAAAAGAATAAAGAACAATATTGGAATAAAATAAATAAAGGACAAAAAAAGGAATAAATTTAATTTAGAAAATTAAAAAATATAATTAAAAACAAATTATATTTATATAGAAAGCTACAATATTTTCTGTAAAAATTGCTTTTCTGTAAAAATTAATATAATATTATATAAACATTGGAATTAGTTAGAACAGAATTTCGTAATGTCGAAAATAAAGAAGAGTAAAGGACAATATTGGAATAAAACAAATAAAGGACAAAATTAAGTTTTGAAGAAACAAATAAATTAAAGGAACAGCTACTAAAATAATTGTTGTTCAGGATCATGTCCAGGATAACATTCAAGAGATTTTAGCTGTCGGTCAGACACCTTGCGTAATATTAATATCAATGGTACTGTAACTTTTAAGCCTTATAACTCGAAAAGTATTTTATGAAAAATAACTTTATCGTAGCGTTTTGAAAAGCATTTAATATCAGCTATTAGATTCTGGAATCAAAAATAGACAATTCCATTTATTTAAAAAAATTGATGTGACCTTGATCTGATCTTAGCAATGCGACCCAAGATTAAACTTATAAGATCAATAAATAGATCTTTTTGAATCCTACAACTTTTGTCTGAAACACTTTTCTGTAAAACTTATATTTTCCGAGATATTCAGGTGTCTCGATTTTTGGACATCCTGTATATATGACTATACATATATATTGACTACTTGTTGACTATCAGTATTGAAAATTTATAATTCCCATTTCGTATACTACAGATTTTCAGTACTGATAATCAACTGGCAGTATGAATGGCCTGAATGATGGCGGTTCATTATTCTATCATAAATGTATACTTATATTTATTGTTGATTATAGATAAAATGATATAAATAAAATGTGCGTATTGCTTAATATTTAATATGATTATTATAAGTGATTAGTTTATCGAGGAAGAAGAAATGTTGA